CACACCAATTTTGTTTTGTTTTTTAATTGATATTTCATTGGCCTATAAATAACTAGCATAGTATTAAATTAACAAAAATAAAAATCATAACAATAGCATCTGAGTAATAAGTGCTTGGCCTAAAGATTTTTGGTAATAGAGGAAGCTGTCTCTATTAAAAACAAACTGAGACCAATTATTTCCAAAATTTTAACAAATTGGCAACCCAGTATCATCACTTTTTATCTAAATATTACTAGCAGCTTATTAAAATACAGTTTAATTTTCTGTATTTTATGTTAAGTTAAATGTAAAACACTGAAAATTAAATTTAATTAATTTCTATATCTCTCCAAAGTGGTGGCATTTAGTCTGCTTAACATAAATTGACTTGGTATCTTATGAGATATACATTCTCATTATAACTGTTTTCATTGCAACACTCCAAAATCAAAATAATATGATAATCAAAACCCTGAAATATGTATTATGATGTTTACATTAATGCTTCTACCAACTCTTTTAAATCAAAATTAGTAGACAAGGCTTTCAAAAGGAATTGCCTTAGTAATGTTAAAATATTATGATAATCTGATAAGACTATTTCAAGTATATATTAATTTAGAAACAACTAATTAACATGTCAATGTAATATATTTTAACTTAGCTTCCATTGCACTCTTTTTTTTAATGAAAGAAGCAACACAAAATGAAGCATTTATTAGTATCAGCAATACCAGAGGAGCGACCAAAGCATGACTTGGATTCAAAATACTTGAATTTCTCATCTGTCATCCTTATTCACTAGGGATCTTTATTAACCCTCTCTGTGCTCCATTATCCCCACTATCTACATTAGTGGGGATAATAGTCCCGCCCATGCTGCTCATGAGTTTTGGTAGAAATAAATTGAACTAATATTTTAAAAGCCTTTTGGTAAGCATAAATGTAAGCTGAATCATACCAGTGTAAAGTTTAATTAATGTCTGTATTGGGGCTTGCACAGCAGTAGTTAGGACACCTGGACCCAACCACAGCTCTATCATCAAGTGGCTTCACCAGTTTGGGCGAGTCTTGCTAGTTCAACCAATGACTATTTTTATAACTAAGTTAAAGGAGGGAATAATTGAAGAACTAAATGTGCCCCAAATCTCTTCTAATCTTGTTATTCTATAGTGACAGTGAAAATTATGTAAGAAGGAAAAGAGTAGGTATAGAAAAGCAAACAACCAAGATGAACTCCCATGAACTATTTGTTTTGTAGGAATAAGATCAGCCAACCAGACTGCTTTTCTGCTGTGTCCTCCAAAATTCAGACAATACAACAAAAACTAACTAAAGCCAGGATTATCTGACGTGTTCATATTATTACCAAAATAAGTACATAATTCCTAGCACCAAATATGTAATTACAGATTTCAATAGTCAATTAACATTACCTTTTTCTATACTAATACATGAAGAGGGGTTTCCTTTAGGACAGGACATCATTTCCCAAGAATTAGCAAATGCTTGAGATGTCTTCTCCAATATATTCTGACTTGACATGAAATCATCCTCTGCTTTGTTGTTGTAGGAACCACAGAGTCCTGTATAAAAGCACACAGCAAAGTTTCACACCTCACCTACTCAATTTTTTGGATTCACATCCTCACTGCACATTCAGTTCTTTGCCCAAGAGAAAACCTGTAGAAGCTACCTGAGAATATGCCTTGTTTAGCCTTCACACATTAAGTAAAATGTCATGGCATTTCAGATTTCACCCAAATTCCCTTTCATTCGCATTCCAGGAGCACTGAAACACCATTTGCCATGAATACTGTCTTTTTCCTATTTGTCGCTGTAACTTGTATCTCTTTGGAGGAGCCAGCAGAAAGTGTGCTTCTAAGTAGGAACTTATGACTCACATTTGCACGATTTCAGTGTGGATAGTTGAATCATATTGAGTGCTATATGCCTTTTTAACCCAGACCCTTCTGACCTATGAGTTACATCTATTCCTTTGTGTAAATAAGTTACCTTCTCAAGTACAGGTGTGTTACAAAAGCTTCTGCTGTTTATTAGGTACTAGTCTTTGTGGCACTTGCCATAATCTTTGTTTGTTTTGCTCAACATTTATGGCTGTAGTTAATAACTGATTTATAAGACAGAAAACATCAGTGACAGAAATGACCATATGATCTCCCAGAAAGACAAGTCACAGTGTAGCTTTTATATAAACTGTGATTTTCAAAAGATTTATATCTATAATATTTTCATTTATTCAACTACGGTTTAAAGCCTTAGTAGTACACACTAGCAAAGTGATACATTAACACATATATTATCAAATCTCATTTAAATAAAAGCGTTAATTTAAAATGTTTAAAAATTTAAATTGTTAAAATCTTTAGGGAATAGATTTTGTAATAAGTAAAGCCATCTTTACTATGACGAGTAAGTTGGAATTATTTTACTACAACGTGGAAGGAAAGATTAAGTCAAAATGGTTTATTGGCTTACTGTTATTAATTAATTATCTAATTAAGAAATTAGAATAAGTGATGGTAATATTTCAGCCTTGGGAATAAAACTTAATCCAGAGGACTTACCCACAGTGTCTGTGAATTGGTTGGGTGGCATAGAAACATATAATTGCATCACAGGAACAATTTGTATTTGTAGTTTTACGTGAAAGTATGTTTCTACTTGAAGGTATGAGGAAGATGCGTTGAAAATCTGTATTTTATCTGTTAAAATAATTAAGAACATTAATTACATGTTCAACAGTTCTTACTTTCTTAAAATACTTTAATATTTTGATATCTGTTAAAAATCAGAAATGTAATAGCTTTAAAAATTGAAAAAATGACTGCATCTTACACTTATTTTAAAATGTTGTTCTTAAACTTACCTGAATAGTAATAACCTTGATTTCTAATCTTGTCATTTGTGACTGTTCCATCACTGCTGAATATGTATTTGTCAACTGGAACAGACTAATATTTAAAACACTTTGTTAGTTAATATTAACTTACAGTATTAATTTTAATGTAATATATGAACCCAAACTTTTATGTCATAAGATGTTTAATGCTATAGGATTAATTAATAAATATCTAAAATACATTTTTAAAGCATTTTTAAGGCACACTTTGCTTCATTGTTTCTCATACCAACTCTGTGTACCAGATTGTAAATAAATCTTCATCCCCAACATGTGAATGCAGAAATGGAAACCCAAGACGGTAACTTGGGTATCCAAAGGTTAAACAGCCTGTGAAGGTCAAAGTCCAAACTACTCATCCTCCCTTCCCATTTAGGTCTATTTCCACTTATAATGTCAATTTCAAATAAATAAAGCTCTAAACAAATGCCATTGCCTTCCTTCATAAATGGTCTGCAAAGTTTAACATTTCAATGAACACATAAATTTGATCCATAATCAACATATTAATTGTATATCTATGATGATTTTGATATACTTCAGGACTTTTGCAACTAGCTGGCACTTCCAGAGACTTTATCAATTTTCTATACAATTTTACTTAAGCTTTGAGTATACATAGTAAAGCTTCTCTTCTTCAACCTCAAAAATCCTGAATTTATAAAATAAGTGATATGATTTGACTCTGAATAAGCCTTAGGAAGCTGATTACTTACAGAATTCAAAAGAAGTGTAACGCTATTTAAGCATGTTCCTGTCTGACCACTTGGGCATGGACGGAGCTCAACACTAATAGACCAATCTTCATTCTGTAAAAAATACATTTCATTAAAATGTTTATTAGAATGTCATTTAATGCTATTTCTGGCATGCTATTACTATGTAATTCATTCACAATGAGCGTTTGAATTTTAAATATGTACAATTCCTACTACAATCAGAGTGCTCTAAGAATAGAAACCAAGTTCAGCCCATAGTACAGCCTCTGGACTGGCCAAGAGCTTAGTATCTTGCATAAACTATATCCATGTAGTTTACCATTGATGAATTTTCATAGTCATCATTTTTAAATTTTATTTTTACTTTTTGTCTTCCCAAAGGGAATATACTGCCACATAAGGACTCTTAGGAATTAGCAGTAACATAGTTTGCTGCTTCTCTGGACAGTTCGCAATGTCTATTTAAATCCAATGTGAGAGTCATTTAATTTGTTAAACTGTAATATAAGTCATATCAAACATAGACTTCCAGATCTCATTTCAATGTCTGGAAATCTGTAATCTATAAGAAGCAAATGTTCCCTATGCTTTGTCATTTTCCCCTCTTACTTTCCCCATCCTGTATCCTAATGGATTTAGAGGAGCATAAAAAGAAGGAATGGCAGGCCTGGCACAGTGGCTCACGCCTGTAATCCTAACACTTTGGGAGGCCAAAGTGGGCAGATCACCTGAGGTCAGGAGTTTGAGACCAACCTGGCCAACACGGTGAAACCCCGTCTCTACTAAAAATACAAAAATTAGCCAGGCGTGGTGGCAAGCGCCTGTAATCCCAGCTACTCAGGAGGCTGAGGCCAGAGAATCACTTGAACCCAGGAGACAGAGGTTACAGTGAGCTGAGATCAAGCTATTGCACTCCAGCCTGGGCGGCAAGAGTAAAACTCCATCTCAAATAAATTAAAAAAAAAAAAAAGAAGAAGAAGAAGGAAAGGCAGATTATGTTGGTAGGCAATCAAGAAGCTTTATTTTGGAAGAGTGACTTTTAGTAGCAGCAACTACATTTTGTAGCTTACAGGACATTAACCAACATTTATCACTTCAGGATTCACAAATTCTGTTCATCTTCATTTCTTACCAAAAAGATTATATAAAATCACTAACTCTCAGGTGGACTAGATTGCCAGTTCTTTGTAGCACAAACTACAAAATGGAATCACTCTTTTATTGAAATTCAAATGACTTAAAATTTTAGTACTGAAAAGAATGTAAATGTAAGAATAGCCTCTATCATAGTGATACTGTTGTATTATAAAAACTAAAAATAAATTTAAGGAAATAATAATGAAAGCAGAAGATGCTTCATGGAATGTAAAAGATTATTTTATTTGAAGCAGTAGTGACCACACACAAAGAAAAGTAGAAGAATGAAATAAATTCCCAGTGTATTCATATGATTATGAGTGAATGAAAAGGGTTCTATTTGTTAGGTTGTTTTTTTGCAGGGAATTTCCAAGGAGGACAGGTAACGTTAATTTAATACTGACAGGTAATACCATCAGTGCCAGTATGTGATAGAAAACATACTGAAATACATAACCAGTAATTGAAGGATTGTTCATTTTTTATTTCTTTAAATACTAATTCAAGGTGAAGACTGTGTTTTAAATTGGTTGAAGAATAGCTTTGTTTGTATATCAGTTTGCTCAAATATTGCAGGCTATTACATACGTGAATGGCCAGGAAGTGGCAGTTTCCAGGAAGGTTGTACTTAACACCATCAAAGGTGGTAAGGGAACTTCCTTCCACCTTACATCTTCCAGGGCATAATGCTTCAGTGCAAGACCATTTTGCATCTTGGCATGTGCTGTTAAAATGTAATGGTTATATTAAGGGTTATCAATTGTATGTTCTCTACGGTTCAAATAAAATTTCACACTAAAAATTCATCACAAGTTAAGACATTTGGTTAAGCTTTATTCGACCATTTTTATTTTCCACCCAATATCTCAGCTCTAATAAAACGTCTCATTGATGGTGGTATCCTAATATTTTAGAAGCCTTGACTATAATGATAACTTCTCATGAATTAAGTATATAAAACTTATAATCTGGATTTCAGAGATTTTTTTAAATGGAACACAGTACATTATCAGTGTTAAAATACCTGCTACAAACCACATTGTAGAATTGCACCACACAATACATAGAGCGAGCTTTTGGAATGTGTCTCATCTCAATTGAGACCCACTATAGATGTAAAACACATACAGATTTTGAAGACTTATAGGAAAAAAATATTGTAAAATCCCTCACTAACTTGATTTCATATTAATGTTATGTTTAAATAATAGTATTCTAGATATATTGGGTTATATAAAATACATGACTAAAACTAATTTCACCTGTTTCTTTATGTCTTTTAAAAATTTGTCAACTAAAAACTGTTAAATGATATATGTGGATCATTTTTGTAGCCTAAATTATATTTCTCTTGAACAGTACTGTTATAGACATTCAATAAATTATACGTACTATTATTTATAATTCTTCATACAAATTACAATGAATTATTAATATAAACAATATAAATTAATATTGATTATTACTACCAAAATAAAACATTTTCCATTTGTAGAGAAAATGCATTTTGTATTGAGCCAAATTATGTCCCCACAGAGACACAATACATTTCAGGGAAAGGAAGAAAACCAATATTGTGAAAATGGCCATACTGCCCAACGTAATTTATAGATTCAATGTCATCCCCATTAAGCTACCAATGACTGTCTTCATAGAATTGGAAAAAACTGCTTTAAAGTTCATATGAAACCAAAAAAGAGCCCGCATTGCCAAGAAAATCCTAAGCCAAAAGAACAAAGATGGAGGCATCATGCTACCTGACTTCAAACTATACTACAAGGCTACGGTAACCAAAACAGCATGGTACTGGTACCAAAACAGAGATATAGACCAACGGAACAGAACAGAGCCCTCAGAAATAATACCACACATCTACAGCCATCTGATCTTTGACACAAACCTGACAAAAACAAGAAATGGGCAAAGGATTCCCTATTGAATAAATTGTGCTGGAAAAATTGGCTAGCCATAAGTTGAAAGCTGAAACTGCATTCTTTCCTTACTCCTTATACGAAAAGTAATTCAAGATGGATTAGAGACTTAAATGTTAAACCTAAAACCATAAAAACCCTGGAAGAAAACCTAGGTAATACCATTCAGGACATAGGCATGGGCAAGGACTTCATGTCTAAAACACCAAAAGCAATGGCAACAAAAGCCAAAATTGACAAATGGGATCTAATTAAACTAAAGAGCTTCTGTACAGCAAAAGAAACTACCATCAGAGTGAACAGGCAACCTACAGAATGGGAGAAAATTTTTGCAATCTACTCATCTGACAAAGGCCTAATATCCAGAACCTATAAATAACTAAATCAAATTTACAAGAAAAAAACAAACAACCCCATCAAAAAGTGGGCAAAGGATATGAACAGACACTTCTCAAAAGAAGACATTCATACAGCCAACAGACATATGAAAAAATGCTCATCATCACTGGCCATCAGAGAAATGCAAATCAAAACCACAATGAGATACCATCTCACACCAGTTAGAATGGCAATCATTAAAAAAATCAGGAAACAATAGGTGCTGGAGAGGATGTGGAGAAATAGGAACACTTTTACACTGTTGGTGGGACTGTAAACTAGTTCAACCATTGTGGAAGACAGAGTGGCAATTCCTCAAGGATCTAGAACTAGAAATACCATTTGACCCTGCCATCCCATTACTGGGGATATACTCAAAGGATTATAAGTCATGTTGCTATAAAGACACATGCACACATATGCTTATCGTGGCACTGTTTACAATAGCAAAGACTTGGAATCAACACAAATGTCCATCAGTGACAGACTGGATTAAGAAAATGTGGCACATATTCACCATGGAATACTATGCAGTCATAAAAAAGGATGAGTTCGTGTCCTCTGTAGGGACATGGATGCAGCTGGAAACCATCATTCTCAGCAAACTATCGCAAGAACAGAAAACCAAATACCGCATGTTCTCACTCCTAGGTGAGAATTGAACAATGAGATCACTTGGACACAGGAAGGGGAACATCACACACCGGGTCCTATTGTGGGGAGGGAGTAGCAGGGAGGGATGGCATTAGGATATATACCTAATGTAAATGACGAGTTAATGGGTGCAGCACACCAACATGGCCCATGTATACATATGTAACAAACCTGCACGTTGTGCACATGTACCCTAGAACTTAAAGTATAAAAAAAAAAAAAAAAGTATTTTGTAGTATTGCAGAAATTTAGAGCTTCAGAGAAAAGCCATAATGAAGAATGGGGAAATCTCAATGGTCATTACATCGTTGTAGAACTTAGAAGGAAGACTAAAGCTGAGTATTCAATTAATAGTGAAATAATCTACAATAACTTTTGGTACATTAGAATTTACTGCTGAATAGATATATTATTCATCTTCACCAATCTCGCCACATATAAAACCTATTTGAAAAGTATTTGGCTCTTTCTAACTGTACGTTTTATTAAATATTCTTGGCACAATTAGCATCACTATTGTTTCCTTATTATAACCAAAATCTTATACTATACTTTGCTCTATATTTGCAACTACCAAGTGGTTTACTATTGAAAACACTGTTTCTGTTAGTGAGCATTATCTTCTAAAGATACACAGAAAGATCATATATTTTATAATAAAAAACACACTGAGTCTAAAAACAAAACACCAACAACACAGAAAATGCAGTGATATTGCTTTTGATTTCTTAAAGGTTTATTTTAAGGGTGCATTTAGGAATCTTTCCAAATTATGTAAAAATATTGGTATTATTTTACCATCAATAATATGTGAACAAAAAGCACACACGTACCACTGAGAACCACAAGGACCTTCTCGGACTTCTCCTGGCTGATACACGTTTCCACTGGATTCACAGGGACATTCAGCTTTTAATACACATTTTCCTTTCTCTCCAATATCATCCAACAGATAACCTAGAACACATTGTATAAAGTTGACCTCAAAACTCTACAAACATCAGTAAATTGTTCAGCAACGTATTGTGAAATCACTCTTGAGATAGTTCTTTCAAGCGTAACATGCACCGAAAATGATAATTTCTTGTTAAAGCAATTACTCCTAATTTGAGAACTGGCAAGAGGATAGAAAACAATTTTCTGAGTCTGAGTTACTGCTACACAGTGCACAGTCCCATTGCACTCAATTTGGGACTAAAGCATATTCTGTGTAATGCAGAAGCCCTCAGGTATTGTAGAGATGGAAATACACATTAGCTTTAAAATTCTCTCTAACCCTCCTCTGCAGTTTGCTAAGAGAATATATTAGAAATAGTTAAATTGTTGGAATGTCATGCTATAAATAAGATATCACTCTGACATGACTTGAGTCCCACTTTCTTTTTAGCTTTTGTTTTGTTTTAGTGTAAATACTCTCATTGGTGTACTACCTTCTGGGCACGTGCAGCCGCTCACACAGTCACTGTCTTGAAAAGGAGCCACATTAGAACAAGTTGCAGGGTTGGAGGGTCCACATTCTTTGTAGATATGTTGTTCTTCTGGACATCTATGTGTTTCTGAAGAAATATAAAAATATGTATACACGGATATTAGAGGAAACTAAATATAAGAAATACATACTCTTCTAAGGAGGAGCTTCTCAAATGGAACTCTTCGAGTCTGAGTTACAAGGTACAAGTCAGTCTTTAAAGATACTCAATATGACTAAATTATGCCAATTTCCTGTGCATTATTTATGATACAATATTTAATTTAGAGGAAATATATTTTTTCTGTAATTTCATTTCATCTTAAGTTGATATTTATATTCTACTTGTATTATGAGGATTGACTTAAGCATATGTGGAAAGTATGTTTGCATATGAACCTCATATTTACATTTTTTATTAATCTTTTTGAAAAATGATAGTACTAATCAGTATACATTTGATAAACTTTCCAGTTATTTTCTATAGAACTGACTCATGGTTTTCCATGACTTTAACTGATTGTAACAAGTACAACATTTTAAATTAAGATCTTAACACAAAGCACTGCAACTTGAGGCGAGTCACATTACCTAAACAAATCTGTTTCCTTGTAAGTATATGTGACAAACAAGACTTCATCATCTCTACGATCCCCTTCCAGGGCTTAGAATCATTTGAGATTACATTGCAATACAGCTTAACTTTAAAGTACTGTATACCTATGTATCAAACCTGCACGTTGTGCACATGTACCCTAGAACTTAACGTATGATTTAAAAAAAAAAAAAGATAAATGAGAAAAAAAATAAAAAATAAAGTGCTGTAGAAACTTACAGAGTTGTAACCTACAATGAAGGTAAAAACCTACCACAAACCACATCGGAATCGCTTCGCCAGGATTCAAAGGTGCCAGGACCATCCGAGGCACAGAGGCGGGACAGTTCTGAGTAAGTGTCACATGTAGATGTTTTGTCTCTAGTTTGGCAGTATTCATCAATGCAGATCATTTTGTAGTCATTGGCTAGAGCAGCAACCTTTCCACATTTCTCAAAGTAGGTTCCAATAATTTTGTTACAGTGCTACAAAATAAAGCATGATATTTTATTAAAATGGGCAACAAAAGTAAGAAAAATGGGCAGTAAGATGAATTTTTAAAGCATAAATACAGAAGTTTTTGGTTTTGTTTTTGTTTTGCATCATATCCTGTAGCTTTGACAAGGAAAGTTCTTGGATGCTGTTTGAAATAGAGCTTTTTGAACTATTATAGTTGGTAAAATGACTCCTAAAATGAATACTGTTGGATTCTCGGCATTTTGGATTGTTGTATAATGACGTTGGCTGAAATTGAGGTTTTTGAAGTATTACAGCTAGTAAAGTGACTCCCAAGAGAATACTTCTGGATACTTGGCATCTTGAATTGCTATGTAATGACTTCAAAATTTATTGTACTTAAACTTATCCAGACTGTCTTTAAAGGTGACATGAATTTTAGAACAGAGAAAATGGAAGGGGTGAGAAGAGAGTTGATTGATGCCAAAGACTGGGATGGTACCTTATAGAATACCATAATAGACAGAAGGGATATTGTCCCTTTAACTGTTAATCTGCCCATAGTTTATAATCAAACAGATGACCATAAAATAAAGTGACTCTGTCCTTTCTTAGTCAGAGACATGTGTATTTGCTCTGGGAACAACATACTCTGTTTTAGTAAAGGAAGTAATGACATGTATTATTGAATGAAAAAAAGCTCAAATTTCAACACAGTTCAACCACCATATAGCTGTTTTCTATTTTAACAATTTGTTTATTTTTAGAGAAGCAAAAAAGCTACTGTAGAACAAATGTACAATTTTTTAAATTATTGTTATTTTTGAGATGGAGTCTCGCACTGTCTCCAGAGCTGGAGTGCAGTGGCATGATCTCGGCTCACTGCAACCTCCACCTCCTGGTTCAAGCAATTCTCCTGCCTCAGCCTCCCAAGCAGCTGAGATTACAGGCACCCACCACCACGCCCAGCTAATTTTTTGTGTTTTTAGTATAGACAGGGTTTTACCATGTTGGCCAGGCTGGTCTTGAACTCCTGACCTTGTGATTCACCCGCCTTGGCCTCCCAAAGTCCTGGGATTACAGGTGTAAGCCACTGCGCCCGGCCCAAGTGTACAATTTGTACCAACTAGGCTGGAGGCAGGCTGATGACATTCTCCAAATGACGTATAAAATTAAGTGAAATAAAATCTTCAAATATTACTCTTCATCTACTATTTTTTGTACATTTTTCTCACTATATTACAGATTTCTCTAGAGTAAGAAATACGACTTTTTATGCTCTGGGCTTAACACAGTATCTTGCACATAAGTTGGTCCTTAGTAAATATACATTGGTTTGAATGTAAATTGATGTAATCATTTAACTAACACTTTTGAGCAACAAGGAATAAGTTTTCAACATATTATGCAACTACCACAATGCATAATCCCTATTATCATGGAACATCTAATTTTATAGGGAACATATGAGAAAAACTTGGGCAATTTTTATAGATGGTATCTTATTATAAGTACCAATGAGAGCCATAAGGTAACAAAAGAAAGAGAAAGCAATTCCAACTGCAAAGATCAAGTAAGATTTCACAACGAAGATGGTAGATGATCTTGTATAATGCCATGGTGTGATTTGCTTTGCTATAAGATGACAAGATGGCTGTAATTGCAACACCCTCTTCCAATAAAACAAAAACATATTTTATTAATGCTATCCACACATTTCTTGATCTTGAGAATTCTATTCTAGTTGAAACAGGAATGTGTGATTCATTCAGTCACCAAATGGATGCAGTCAATCAAATTCAACATAATAGCTTACATAAGTGCAGAAAATCCACAAAGTAAATGATAACTATCTGCAAATGCTGTTGTCAAAAATATTATCTGTAACTTTCTCAAAAAGAAAGTAAAAGATATGAGGGATGACAATTCAGAAAGGATATCTGGGGCAAAAGTAAGGGAGTGGGACATAGTACATGGATTTCCAAACTGTAAGAGAAGAATCAAGACAGTACCCATCAAGAGATGATAGTGGAAAGGTGAAGCATGTCAGTTTCCATACAGACAAACTAAAACACTATGCAAAGGAAATTATAATTGTTACACTAATATATGATAAATATCATAGTATTTGAGGGGAAATTATGTTGGCATGTGCAGCTAGACCAAAGCTGAAAAACAGAAAATAGGAACATTGGATAGGAAGTAGTTGCAGAATTCTAAGAAGAAGGTATGAGTGCTTAGGAGAATATGGAACCAAGGGCTTAAATTGGAACGAAGGGTTACAAAGCCATGTTAATAAGAACAGTGTAATAATGGCGTAAATACAGACACACAGACCAGTGGAACAGAATAGAGAACCCAGAAATAAATCCAAACATACACTGCCAACTATCTTTCACAAAGACACAAAGAAGACACAATGGTGGAAAGGATGGGTTCTTCACTAAATGGTGCTGAAAAAACTGGTTTTCCATATACAAAAGAATAAAATTAAACCCATATATTATACCATACACAAAAATCAATTCAAAATTAATCAAAAACCTAAATTGAAGACCAGAAAATATAAAATCTCAAAAGGAACATAGGAGAAAAGGTCCTGCACATTGGCCTTAGCAGTGATGTTTTGGATATCACACCAAAAGCTCAGGCCACAAAAGCAAAAATAAACAAGTGGGACTGCATCAAAACAGTGCTTCTGCATAGCAATGAAACAATTAACAAAATTAAAGCGTAGCCTAAAAATTAGGGGTGAAATTGTAGACCATATATCTGATTGAGGATTAATATCCAAAATTTATATAGAACATATAAAACTCAAAAGTGGAAAAAGAAATAACCCAACTTAAAAATCAGTGAAAGACTTAAATAGACATTTCTCTAAAGAAGACATACAAATGGCCGACAGGTATATGAAAGGTGCTCAACATCATTAATCGTCAGGGAAATGCAGCTCAAAACCACCAAGAGCTATCACCTCACACCTGTTAGGATGGCTATTATCAAAAAGTTAAAAGATAACAGAACTGGCAAGAGTGTGGAGAAAAGGCAAGGCTTACACACCGTTGGTGGAAATGTAGATTGGTACAGCCATCATGAAAAACATCATGGAGGTTTCTAAAGAGATTACAAATAGAACTACCTGCCAGGCGCAGTGGCTCACGCCTGTAATCCCAGCACTTTGGGATGCCAAGGCGGGCAGATCACTGGAGGTCAGGAGTTTGAGACCAGCCTGGCCAACATGGTGAAACCCCATCTCTACAAAAAATACAAAAATTAGCCAGGCCTGGTGATATGCAACTCTAACCTTAGCTACTCGGGAGGCTGAAGCAGGAGAATTCCTTGAACTGCAGTGAGCAGAGATCACGCCACTGCACTCCAGCCTGGGCGACAGAGTGAGACACTGTCTCAAAAAAAAAAAAAAAAGGAACTACTATATGACCCAGCAATCACTCTTTTGGGCATATATCCAAAGGAAATGAAATACCACCTTGTAAAGATATTTGCACTCCTGTGTTCATTGCAGCATTAATCATAATAACTAAGATATGGAAACAACCTAAGTGTTCACAAATAAACAAATGGAAAAAGAAACTGTGGCTCATATATGCACAATGGAATATTATTCAGCCCTAAAAAACAACAAGATCTTGCCATTTATCATAACACGGATAAGCATGGATGACATTATACTAGTGAAATAAGCCAGAAACAGGAAGAAAGATGTTGCATGACCTCACCTATAAGTGTAATCTTTTTTAAAAAATTAAGTCTGTAGAAATAGAGAACAAAACAATGGTTACAGGGGCTGGAAGAATCTTGAGATCTAATGTACAATCTGAAGACTATAAGTAATAAGATTGTACTGTATCTCTTATTCATGCTAAATGAGCAGATTTCAGCTGCTCTTACCACAGAAACAAACAAACCAACAAAAAAAAGTTGAAGTATCTTTCAGATGAGATGATGGATGTGTTAATTTGCTTCCCTGTAGTAAATATTTTACTATCCATATGTATCACATACCAGACAAACACGTACACATGTTGTGTACCCTAAATATACACAATAACATTTATTTTGAAAAAGAAACCAAGGGAACTATTGCTAGAATTTGGTACACAATGAAATATAAATTTCTTACCTGTATTCCATCTTCACAAACTTCATAGCTTTTACCAACAGCATTGGGACAATCACCAGGAATTTTACTATTGGCAATGTGCTCATTAATATCTTGCCCTTAAAAAGAAAGCATTGTTTAGTTTCAGTTATTCTTTTTATGTGTGCATTATTTTCAAGCTACATATGGACTTGGCAATGTAAAATGTTTTCATTTTAACAAGTTCTCATTCTTTAGACAAAGGCAAAATTGAAAATGATTTGAGTTTTTAGTTTCATTTTGGAAAGCAGGTTCTTAGGAATGATACATTGGAATGTTACCTGGAGTGCTGTTGAAGTTACCACAAAGACCACAAGTTGGATACTGCTTGTGAAGAGTGAGCTTTAAAAATAAATTACATGTATTATATGTTCATGAAATGTTAAACACATCTCAAAACAAAATGTACCCAAACCAAAGGGCCATGCCTCCTCAAATTCAATTCTATCTAAGCTGCTTACTTAGAGGTGTTAGAGGGCTTTTTCTTAAGGACCTGGTTCTGGAATTTGAATAGGTCCTAACTCCACCATTTACCATGTGTCTGAAAATATTATTTGGTGCAAAAGTAATTGCGGTATTTGCCATTTCAAAGTAACGGTCAAAACTGCAGTTATTTTTGCACCAACCTAATAACTTTTTTTACTTTGCATTTCCTGAGTTTCATCATCTGCAAAATATGATTATTAATAGCATGTATTTTAAGATGTTTTGAATACTAAATGAGATATTTAGCATAATGACTAATACATAGAGATTTCTCAGTAAGCCTTAGCTCTTACTTCCCTAATAGTGTATTGTTTTTGTAACTTAACTAAAGGACAAAAAGCACAGGATTACATGAAAATCATAGATAGACTTACTGAGAGTTTGTTATTTTTGTCCCACATTAAAGTCAGGATTCCTCTACGGCTATTCAGAACATTATATTCTCCATATTTTTTAATGTGAATCAACTTATTGTTATATGGTATCTGTATGCTGAAAAATATAAAATATAAGTATATGTAAAAAGGTAAGAATCATACTATTATAATATGTTTTCTGATAATTCATGTCACCCAACAATTTAGTATCCTATAGATAGAATACTTGCTGGTAAATACTAAAGTTTTTTTTATCAATTCAGAAAAAGGGAAACAGTGGCTTTTTTGAACACTGGAAGAACTTCTAAAAAACAACTAATAGATCCTTGGCACTTTGGAGAAATTAACAGGATGAAACATTGGTTTGGTGTCAGAAAAAAATAATTGAAATGTTCCCAAGTAGAATATCATGCCTCATTTTCTTATTCTGGAAAGTATTCAAATATGCCATCCCTTCCAAATCTGAATTGCTCCCTCTAAAAATCATGGACTAAGAGTTTTAATCTCCTCAATTTCTAACTTATAAAATCTTAAATTTATACTTAGTGTTAAACTTGCAAATGAAAACTGAAAAATCCTGAAACATTCAACAAAAATAATCGGATTTGTTGAATACACACAATTCCCATAATCTAGATAGTCAGTAAACTCAAACAACAGAATTTTTTTCCGTCTTGTTATGGGAATAAATACAATGTCTTACAATCCCAAATATGTCAAAGTCTTACACATTTATCAAACTCTTGGCCAATAATCAATTAAAATATCAATATGAGCATCAATATGGGAAGAAAGTATCATCTCCCTTTTTGTCTTTTTTCTTTCTTTCTTTTTTTGCTCAGGTCACTAAATAATTTTCTATCATTTACCCAAAACACTACAGTATTTACCTTTCTCCATTAACTAAAATGGTGTCACCAAAAATAGAGATGTCGTTATTGTCAATTAGAACTGTTATTTTTTCAGTCTCACTATCATTGTTTCGTTTGATTTCAATATTGAAATCCCCTCCAGATTCAACGCAGTGACGGCAGAAAGTGTACGGGCATGAAGATTCGAACAAAAAGATGCGGCCGTTGAAAGATTTATATGCTCCTTTGCTCCAGGTAGATGCTTCACCTACAAAATATTCAGAGGAACATATACATAATTATTTAGAACAATTAGCATACCTTCTAGGTCTGTTTTAAAGCATTTTTGTCCTAAGGGAAATAAAATCACTGAAAGGTTCAATTCTCACAGCCACCACCTTAAATCAGTGCTTGCTTTCTTTCACTACTGCAAAGACTCACTAAAACTAGTACATGAGTACTTCTTTAGTGTACCCTAAGTTGACTATTCCAGCTAAAATAAAGCAAGATTGAAAACATCTTGCTTCCCATAGGAAAACAAATATTGTCTCTAATATGGGATGGAATATATGGAAGGAAGCAGTGGTTTGTATGCTTTCTTGCTTTGCTTTTTTGGAAGAGATAGTTTTTCTAAGTCTGAATGAAGTCCCATTTATATTGAATGACGATAAAGAATTATATCATTTATCTCTATACATATAAATGTGTGTATATATGACTGTGTATAGGTATATGCGTGTGTGTGTGTGTGTGTGTGTGTATACATGTTTTCTGGAGAAAAAAATAGTACAAATGTGGTATCATTCAAACATACAATGATTAAACAGACAGATGATGGGGACATTTTCAAAACTAGTTTCAGGTTGGGCTCATGCCCGTCATTTCAGCATTTTGAAAAGCTGAGGTGGGAGGATCATTCGAGGCCAGAAGTTCAAGACCTGACTGGGCAACATAGCAAGACTCTGCCTCTACCAAGAAAAAGGAATATCCAGGCATGGTGGTGCCTTCCTATAGTCTCAGTTACCCAAGAGGCTAAGGCAGAAGGATTGCTTGAGCCTAGGAGTCAGAGGTTACAGAGAGCTATGATTTTACCACTGCCCTCCAGCCTGGATGACAGAGTGAGACCTTGTAAATAAATAAATAAACAAAACTAGTTTCAAATTTTGTAAATTTGTTTCTGTGATCTCATTAGCTACTGGCGTGGGTGTAAATATGTGAAAGAATATCATAAGCATTTTTACTTACCAATAATTGCATTTGTTTCTGAGTATTTTGGAGTTGCTTCTGGAATGTGGGATCCTTTTTCTATTCAACACAATGCATAGATTATTTCAATGTTAAGACATATATTCATTTTAAATATACAAGATATTGGAACTTCTACATGGGAACTTAAAAGTTGGCATTGAAGGCCATCAATAAATTTTTTATACTATATATTATATAACATATATAATGGATAACTCTGTGAGAGCTGGGACTTGCCAAAGTCACATACGTGATTAACTCTGCAGTCCACACTTTTTCAGTATGTTCATGAATCATTAAGAGCTTATGTATTGGGGGTCCTGTACAATTACTAACATATGCTGCACCCCTTACAGAAATATTTTTCAACTTTAGAAATAAAACATTGCATGTTCATTTCTATCAGGAGCTGTGGCACAAATAGGACAGAGGTACATTTTAGTCAATCAGTCTATTATCTAATACTAATAATTTATCTATATATGAGGAAAAGTCAGTTCTCCCACTCACAGGGAAAAATCTGTATATTTTAAAACTTTGCATTTCCCATGATTGTTTATATCTAATGACCCTGGTATGTAACCAAGTAAATTTATATTCAATTGTAGGGTAAAGCCTAAAAACAAGCAACAACAATAACAAAAGTGGATGTTCTGATAGAATTGTAAACTCTTTTCCGAAATGCTCTTTATCATCTATCTTGAAGTTTCTTCTCTTTACTACAGGTTGTATTTACTCAGACTGAGTGGAAACAGATTGAACTCCTAATTTGTTTATGAAGGCATTTTAAAAATACTATGTCTAAAATAGTAAAGGAGTTGTAATATGTTTTATTCAAATTCCCTTAAAATGTGGTTTAATCTCTCTTATTCATGAAATTGTTTCAAATACTTAGTTGGCCATCTAAACTTTAGTATCCAAAGAGAAGTAGCACTTAAGAGCTCAATATGAGAAAAAATAGTAACAAGTCCTAGTAAATCAATAATCAGCAGAACATTACAACATTGTAAGTGTATGTATGTGTGTGTGTATGTATATCTTTTTAAACACTCAAAGTCATAAATCAGATTACCTGGAGTATTGAGTGGTCCAGAGGTACTGTATTCAGACGAGTTTGTGACACCTATTTCAATACAAAATGATTAAGCTATTTTGTGTGTATAATTTTACTTGGTAATGTGATTTTTAAAGAAAATCTGATGGATAGACCATAGATCCTAGTCCAGCAATGCTAATGCTAGCAGACTAAGACCGTGTAAAGCTGTACAAGAAAAAAAAAATGTCAACTCAAAACCTTGCTGGAGTAAGAAAATTAAATGCCTTGCCTCTAAATTAACTGACACCAAATCAATTTTTTTCTAGATCATTTGTCTTAAAACTTGTCAAGGGTAAGAGGAAAAGGTTCATTAGACAAAGTTCTAGGTCTCCTATCCCACTGTCAACCAAACTATTTCCCATTCTGAATTGTTTTACTTTTAGGAAACCTGGGTACTATTTCAAGAGGTCAATTAAACAAAAGATTCTGCACTCACAGAAACTAGAAATATGAAAAACACTAATCTAAATGAACTGACACCTTCATTAATGTCAACAGATTCAGACTTCCCATTGCAAAGCCACTAGATTTACTGCCATTAGAAACACTACCAAAAATAACACTACTTAATAAAGTCTATCTCACATGGAAAAATCAAAGCAGTTAAAATCTAACATCCAAATAGCCAAAAAAAAAAAATCATCAAATCGGTAACCACTCCACACTATGAAACATAAAATATAATTATTCTGAATACGTTTCTCAGGAAGAAAACCTAAATTTGAATACCTGAGCTAATGGCAGCCTAGCTGGAGTTCCTAAATTAGATGTCTTTGAAACCGTTTGTAACAACTGTGACTTTTTAAAAATCCATGTCAATAAATAATAAACGAATTTCTTAGTTCTTTGGAAGTGTTGACTTCAAAATTGACGACCAAAGTTTAAGAACAACCAAAGTTAAAATTATTATTTCTGTATGACCAGGCCTTTCTTGGAATAGGTTCATTGATAGTCAATCCCGTGTCAGGTCAACCGTTACTACACTACACTGTATCTCTTGCTAATTACATTTCACTTTTTGAGAAGAAGATATTAATCCTGAAGCTGAATTCTAAAGATGAATCCTGAATATTTTCCAGAACCTCCATTTTACTGTAAGTGATCCACTGTCCCCAGTTCTATTGTCATCTACTCTAATGGTTCCCAGGTCGTTCCAGCCCTGGTAACAGCATCAAAACAGTTTCTGCATCAAGAGTACATATTATTTTAAAATTTTTTACTACAAATTCCAAGACCATGCAATCGAATATTTTCATTAAGTGGAAATATTAAAATGTATAAGGATTTCAAAAGTGGATGCAAGTCTTAGTCTTCTCAGCAATGGGCTTGCAAAGAAAACTAAAGCCGCCAAGTCCAGATTCGGGATACAAAGTTTGAGACCAACAGTTCAGCTGCTACTTTATCTCTTCAACTGACTCCAAATCAATTTTACATAAAGGCAACAAAAAGAATTCTACATTGATATATTCACAGCCATGAAACCAGTTCCACATCTTATGCCAACAAATGTTAAACATCATTTGCCTGATTATATCTAAGAATATTTCAACATTTGAGAATGCAGAATTCCTTTTAAATTACTATTAACAATGTTTACAATTTTCATTGTCATTGTAAGATGTTTCTTAGAATTCTGATTTTCTGATAATCGGAAATCTCAATGCCTATGCCATAGGAATAAGATCCAGTAACATTGCTTCCATTATCACAGGTACCTGAACCACTAAGGCCAGTTTCACCAAATTCACTTAGTCCAGAAGCACCAACACCAAGGCCATCTGCACCCTTACTTCCTCCACCACTTCCAGAACCAGAAGACCAAGTGTTTCCTCCTAATCGAAAATCAAAATATGATTAAAAGAAATAAAGAAGAAAGAAATTTATTGGAATTTCTTGGAAATAGAGTCCAGGTTAGGATACCTGAGTCACGGACATCAGATCCAGGACTCAAGTTTCCAGCCTCAGCAGGTTCACTGCTTCTCTTTCTATTCCCACCAGTTCTACTGACTTCAAATCCATGTTGATCAGATGACCCCAATATGACTCCTGAATCTTCAGAGATATCACTAGAATTTTCAAACCCATTTCTTGCACTTGAGTCACCTGTTGAATACAAAATTATGATCACTAGAATTACTTTCAATGCATACCATGATTCAGAATTGTCCATGCACAGAAATTAACAATCAGTACCTAGCATTATAGCCTCTAGAACTACCTACTCCATTTCCATCAAAATCTTTACTACTATTGCCATTGTCACCAAATTGATTTAAACCAGAATCTCTAAAGTCAAACTCAGCTCCACTCTTCATTTATCCAAGCCCAAATTCAAATAACCACGACTTTCCCACTGGTGAAGAAGTAAAATGTTAGTAAAGTAATGGATGAAAGGTTGAAATCAATTTAGATTTCACCAGAGCATAGTCCAGGACTAAACCACCTGTGCCACTGACATGAGATTTACTGCTGCTCTGCTCATTCCAACCAGAGCCACTTCTTCCAAATCCCTTTTGACCAAATTTCTCCAAACCAAAACCCAAATTTTCTCATATATCACACAAAAAAATCCCTTTTTTATTGTTCTGGTACCAATTACATTATATAAAATGATTATCATCGGAATGCATTTCAATAAGTTTATGATTCAAACTTTTATGCAAAGAAATTAAATATTGATACCTAACCACTGGAACTAGATTCTCTAGTAACTTTTATTCCATTTTCACTAAGCTCATTATCACCAAATTTCCTTGAATCAGAATATCTAAAGTCAAATCCAGCTCCAAGTTTTTTTCTTCCAAGTCCAAATTCAAGAGACTCAAGCATTCCCACTAACAGAACATCAAAATAGTTTTAAATAAATGAATATTTGGAATTCAGGTGTATATCTCAGGAACAGAAACTGGCTAGAATACCTGAGCTACTGGCATCAGATCCAAAACCTTTGAATCCAGCCTCAGCAGATACACTGCCACTCAATCCATTCCCTCCAATTTCATTGATTCCAAATCCCTCTTGACCAGAATCCCATAAATTGGATATCGAATTTCGAGAGCCACCACCAACAAATTGATTCTCACTTCTTAAACTGGTATCACCTGCAGAATATAAAATAATTGTCATGGTATATTGAAACTATTTTATGATTCAGACATTTTTATGCACAAAAGTCGGATATTAATACCTAGATCAATGGAAACAGATCCTCCAGAACTACTCATTTGATTTCCTTCAACTGTTTTGCTACTAATGCCACTGTCACCAAATGAATTCGAATCAGAAACTTCAAAACCAAATGCAGCGTCACCTTTCCCTGCTCCAAGTTTCAAACCAGAATAACCAGTTCCAACTAATGGAAAAAATCAAAATATGATTAAAGTTAATATTAATTAATTAATCTCTTTGCTATTAAGTGACATTAAAATAAAAGTATTTTAACCAGTTAATTAATTGAATCAATCTTAAATTTTGAGGAGTGAGTCTTGTTGGAATACCTGAGCTACCTGCATCAGATCCAAAGACTATGGTTTCACCCCCAGCAGATCCGCTGTCTCTAGTTTCACTCCCATCAGCTCTACCGACTTCCAATCCCTTTTCACCAGACATCCCCCAACCAAATCCCACATTCAGAGAAGCACCACTGCTACTAACGCCAGCACCAGATCTTGTGTTGGTGCTATCTGCTGAAAACAAAAAAAGAAAGAAAAATAGAAAAAAAATCATTGTGGCCAAGGGAGTATTTTAACACATCTTATGATTCTTTATTTTGATGCAAAAACCTGAATAGTAATATCCACATCACTGGAACTTGATTTCCAGTGTTCTGTATTTCATTTTCACCATAGCCTTTTGTTGAAGACCACTGACAACAACTGAGCCAGAATTTCCAAAACCAAATCCCAATTCATTCTTCCTTTCACCACCAACTCCAAAATCAAAAGCCAAAATGTTTCTGCCTAATGAAAAATTAAACTGTTATTGAGAGTAATATACAAAGAATAAGAATTATTTGTATTTTGTATTAATAGTCTCTCAATCAGAATTCCTTAGTCACTGACATGAGCACCAAGGTCTGTGGATTTACCACCAGTGAACTCCTTGTTCTTCCTGTTTCTACCAACGTCCACGTCTTTTATGGTAAATTGTTCTAAATCAAAAATACCTAGAGTTACTATACTTTCTTGACACTCACTTCCTTCATTGGCTCTAGTTTCCGAATATGAAATGCTATTCATCCATACTTTTGTAAATTTATTTTCTCCAGCCTTCTTTTTCAAGAAAACTAGTTCAAATATAAGTAATGGAATTTTAAAAGTTAATGTGGTAGATGTCATTCAAACCCAAGAGCACAAGATTTATCTGTTCCAGATGACAAAACTTGTGAACAAGAGAGGTTAAATGGTTTCCCCAAAGGTTAGTGTGAAAGACTGGGGATCGAAACTCTTTGTCCCAGGTCTAAGCTCCTGGGAAGCCTCAAACCTACTTGCCTCTTCACTAAATTGTTTAAATTTCTGATTTCTGTTAAAGTTAATATAGATTTTTGATGAACCAGACAAAGAGTTTACAAATTTTTTTCATTAATTCCTCTAACATTAAATCTGTATTTGTCACAGAAAACCACCAATTCCTGCTTTGCTAATTAAATCAGTGAATTAATTGATTATTCTGACAAAAGCATAAACTAAGAAACAACATAGAATGCCTGTTTCCCTGGCAGCAGAATCAGAGTCAGCTAATCCATTTACTGCACCTACATCTAATCCATTTTGATCGGGGACCCCTACCAATTTTATTTTGATTTGAAGCAGTACCACCAAACAGTACCACCTGCTGAACTGATTTCATCCACCAAAATACAATCATTACCACAGAAAAGTTGTATTCATTCATACAATACAAGAAAGTAATCCCTGCACACTGCTTGAATCAGAGCTGCATTTTACTTTCTGATATATTCCTTGATCTCCCTTATTCCGTATCTTTCCATATATATTTCTATGTAGTAGAATCAGGAGTAAGAATGGCAACCAATTTATCATGAGATTTGAAAGATTCCATAAGAAAGATGAAGCTTTGGGGCTGTTGATGATAAGCTTTTATTGTGCTCTACAGAACATGAGAAAATGACTAACACCTAATGTAAACAAGAGTAGATGGATCTGTCTTATCTCCTTAGTCCTATTGAGTTTGTCAGTCCCAAAACAGGTGAGTGGAAAATAAAAACTTGGTATCCTTCATAAAGATACTACATCCAAAGCTGTTTCTGCCTTTTCACCTCAGAGACAAAACTATTAATTTTTAATGTAAAATATAGAACTTATTTTCCTCACTGGGACTGCTTCCTTCCCATTTTGTAGAGGTACAAACTATAGAGATTTCAGGGGCCAGGCAAACATAGTAAAAATGTGAGTAGAACAGTAGGAAAAATTGTATTGAACCAGCAAGACCTCAAGTCACCTAAAGAAATTTAAATTTTTTCCCCCAAAAAACAAAATTGCAGGCCACAAACTGCTTAGGAACTCTTCCTTATCATATCACTCAGCAAACCGGGTATGTAAGTTCAGTAGAGAATCTTGATATAGAAAATCAATTGTGATTAGATACAGAAACATGAGTGGAGAGAACCTACTCTACATTTGGGCCCAGGAATCATTTTTTATTTTTAACTTATACAGTAAAAAATGTCAGAAAAATAATTCATCATTAGAATAATAGTACCAAGTATGAAGAGCACATATGACAATAATTATCAGGAGAACAATTAATTTAATGTATACATCTTTACCAAAATTCTCTAAAGACAGAATTTATCACTCGCATTGGCCCTGAAATCAGTGCTTTTAGAGTAGCTATGACTATTAAAGCCATGTGCTGCAAACAAAAGAAAGATTCTCAGATTATCCAAAATGACAACCAAAAGCACTTGTTTGCTAGGTACGTATTTTTTCTGGAACAGTACCTGCTGGGCTGTCTTCTGACCTTGAATTCCCAGCATCCCGACGTTCTCTGGACTTGTCTTCAGCCTCTCCTGTAGCACCAAATTCAAAGCTAAAGAGTGACTTTTTTCTGTCTGAGTCACCAGAGGATGGACTACCATAAAAAAAGCCACCTACAGTGAAGAAAAAAACATTTACATTGCTAGCACAGACTAAAAAGGTAGTCTAATTATGACACCACGAAGAGCCACATTTTATTTTCAGTAGGTCTCATTATCCTGACAACACTTGGAACAACATACACCACTGGTTGACTTAATCACCTTATCTGTATCTTTTGGTCATTTTTCTAAAACTTCAATCGAGGAGAATCGAGCTATGAAGATTCAATAATTGATGTGTACTAGATACTCTTCTCCTGGGCAGAGCAGAAACTCCCCAGTCTGCTTCCTTCCCCATTCCTAAGCCCCAAGTTCCAGCATCCCACTTCCCCCAGTCAAAATTTTCTGCCTTGTTGAATTCACATTGTCCTTGGCTACTGTTCATTATAGCTGCTTTTCTGTATTTCTGCAAGGAAGAAAGCATGTAAACACTTACTCATGAATTAATTGTACTATCCACCTCCTTAAGTTTCATCTCAATGAGGCACACTCTGACAACTTAAAATTGCAACCTCACTCCATTGTTACACTCCCAGTTACCATTATATTATTCTATTTTATCCCACAGATTTGTCACCTTGTAATATACAAGGTAAAATATATCCCCTTGTGATACACCTTTTATCACTGTCTTTAATACTTATAGAGTATTGACTGTATCCTTCTTCCACATTTTAAGCTCCATAAAGTCAAGTTTTCTTTGCCTGTTCTATTGAGAGAGGGATTTCAGGTGTCCAGACCAGTGCCTCAACAATAGAGGGCACTCAGTATTTATTTAATAAATGTAGTCACCAACAAAGACCACTTCTTAAGGTAATAAACACCTTGTTACATGAAGTATATATGCTTTCTATCATGCCATTTGTATATTTTTTGAAATCTATATAAAATTTTAATATTTCAGAATTATTAACATCTTAACTGTAATATTCCTGTAGAGTTGTGGAAGACATAAATTTTGGTCACCAAATAGACAAAAACATGAAGTGAATGATTTGTAAGTAACACTTGAAGACTATGTAATCACAAATACTAATAAAATAAGTGGCTTAATTCTGCATTAAAATAAGGAAAGAGACTTCTCCCTCCACAAATACCTTTTCTTTGATCATTTCCTGAAGAAAACTTGTGAGTACTTTCTCTAGCTCTCTGAAATGTACATAGACATTTTTAAAGACTAAATAAACACCCCGAGAATGTTTCTTCAAGGGGCGGGGGCCAACACTTTGAAATGTAGTCATGAAGGAAGATGCTTCCCTATATCCTAAATTCCTGGGAGGTAGGAGCCTAACTTCCACTGGTGTTTGGCTACAAATCACAAACGTACCTCCGGTCATAATACACAAGAAACTTCTTCTTTCTTTTAAAAGCAATCAGCAAACACAGGTGGTTACCCAAACCACCATGCAAATGTAGGATGAGCCCTATGGCTAATGATGCTGTCAAATCCACTCGAGAACTAGTTATTTCTTATATTCATAACTTACATGTAATGGGTTTTATCTGCTTGTTTTATAAAAGAGAAATATTTCTGTGTGTCTGCAATCTTTTTAGTGAGATGCCTGTCAGGACAGGTTTTCAGAGGGGGCAGGAGACCATTTTTAAAGACATTTCCCCAACAACCTCTCCTGGAATTCTTAGCCATTTTCCATGTTTCTAGCAAGTGTATCTCTACTTTTCTAAAGCAAATAGTAAAAATAAAATATGTCTGTGATTATGAGAATAGTCAAAATAATAATCTATTATGTAGTATTAGGGAAAGGCATTCAACATTTAAGAGATTTTGAAATTATAAAATGTGCATGTAGGCATTTGTTTTAGGACTAAAACAATGTTTAAATTATGAATAGCCAATATATACTATTGTTTAATTACCTAACCCTTCAACCACTGCTACCTGTACTACTCTTCCTATATACAGTATTTCGCCTCTTTCTCTCCTCTTTCCCTCTGTCTACGCTTCTTCACTATACACTCTTCTTCTTTTTCTCTTTTACTATCTTTCTCATTGTCTTTTTCAATGTCATGTAGTTTCAGAGCTGCACCTTAATATATAAATATTCTAGCTTGCTGGCAAAGCAGAAGGAAGCAAAGCAGTATTCAGTCACAGCAAAAGTATAAACTCTTAATGCAAATCCATCTGGTTCCTCCATTTGCAATTGGTAGCCTTGGATAGTAGCTCTCTTGCTCTCAGGCAACAGGGATTCTTGTTCTGTTCTACCCACATCTTCCTCTGGCCTTCCTGGGGTCATGGCACTCATCAGAGAGCACAGAATACAGGCCAAGAGTGAAGGGATTATGCCTACCCAGGGCCTGTGTTATCCCAGTCTCCCTTTCTGGATCACATTTTAGGGCCCCAGGGCTGTAGTCCCTAGTTTGCTACATGGGCATGCATGGGCATGTTTCCTAAGACCTTCTTCTCCAGGTGAGACCACATTGCAAATACGATCCCCTAGGTCTGAGGGATGGGGAAGGAGTGGTCAGTGTGCAGAAGGAGATGGACTGAGATAGAAAAGCTGGGATGTCCCTCCCAGTATGCGAATAAGCCAGAGACGGAAGGAGCATGACTGTGGGGACCTCAGCTAGGGCACAGTCAACATTGATCTTGCATTGAATTCCAATAAACCCGAAAATCCTGCATTGGATCCTGCCTTCCAGGTTGTCACAAGTGTACTTTTGTCAAGGTAGAAAAAGCAACACATTTTATGTCCTATTATGTTTCTTTATTGGTAACTTTTAATTATGTATATACCTGCATTTATACTCTTGACCATGACTGTGCCTTTGGCCTGTCCTTGGCTAACCAAATTAACATTTCTAAAACAAAGTTTCCTTAAACAAAGTTTATTTCACCATTAAATGGACACTACATAATGTATGAGGATAAAATATTGCCAAACTCATGAAAAGAGTTTTTTATGTCCTGCCTAAAGATATTACAACCACACGCCTACACCCAAAGCTTTTTCTGCCTTTTTATTACATGGACTCAGATATCAACTTTTCATATAAAATATTGAAGTTGTTTATTTTACTGAACCTCTTTCTTTCCCATGTAGAGGTATAAACTCTAAAGATTTCAGAGACGAGGCAAGTACATTGAAAGTTTAAATAGGCCGACAGGGAAAGATATGTCAAACGAGATTAAATGTCTCACCTAAAGATACTTAAAATTTTTCTTTAAAAAAAATAAATAAATAAAAATAAATTGCACTCTACACACTGTTTAGAAACTCGGCTTTATGCTACTATTTAGTAAACTAAGTGTGTAAGAGAGAATCCTAGTGTAGAAAATGAATGGTGATTGGATTATAGAAATGTGAATGGAGAGATTCTACAGTACATTTGGGTCCAGGAAGCATTTTAAATAATTTATTTATATACTGAAATTGGTCATAATAACAATAAAGATACTAAATTTAAAGATAGAGTTAAAAATAAATTTTATCAGGACCATAATTAATTTAATGTAAACTTTTTTACCACAATTCTCTAAAGACAGAATTTATCACTCTCATTGGCCCTGGAAATAGTGTCTTTAGGGTTTCCACGATTTCTATGCAGGCTTTGTCTTCAATAAAACGTAGGATATCAGATTATCCAAAATGAAAATCAAGAGTACTTGCTTGCTAAGTACATATGTTTTTCTGGAACAGTACCTGGTGGGGTGTCTTCTGACTTTGAACTTCTGGCATCCTGACGGTCTCTGAACTTGTCTTCAGCCTTTCCTGGAGCACCAAGTCCTAAGCTAAAGAGTGGCTTTTTCCTGTCTGAGTCATCAGAGGATGAACTACTGTAAAAAAGGCCACCTACAGCAAATGACAGAAGATGTTATTTGAAAACAGCATTATCAGCACAGAATGTAAAAGTCATTTGATTATGACATTATGAAAAGCCACATTTTATTTTGTATAAATCCCATTATCCTAGCAGCACTTGAAACACCTGGGACTTAATCATCTAATCCAAACATTTTGGAAGTTCCTAATCTGATCTATGCAAGTCTCACTCTGGCCTTCCTTGGGTCATGATGCTCCCCAGAGAGCAGAGGCTACAGGCTGAGGGTGAAGAAGACATGCCTACCTAGAGTCTGTGTCATCCCCTACCCCATTTCTGGACCATGTCCTAAGTCCCTAGGGCTACAGACAAACCCACGATCTGGGCCTACATGAGCGTCTTTCCCAAGACCTTCTTTTCCAGGTGAGACCACATTACACTGATTGAAACCCTAGGTCTGAAGGATGGACAGAGGATGGCCAGTGTGTGGAAGAAGATGGACTGAAATAGTAAAACTAGGGCATCCCTCTCAGTATGGGAGTAAGCAGGAGATAGAAACAGAGAGGCTGTAGGGACCTTGCCTAGGGCACAGCCAAACTTATTGTCTTATTGAATTCCAATAAACATGAAAATTCTACATTGGAACCTGCCTTCCAGGTTGTCATAAATATATTGTTGTCAAGGAAGGGAAAAAAAGTATTTTATGTACTATTTTGTTCTTTTATTTATAACTTTTAATTTTGTGTATACTGCATTTATACTCTTGACCCCTGACTGTGCCCTTGGCCTGTTAAACAAAGTAACACTTCTAAAACAAAGTTCCCTTAAACAAAATTTATTTTACTATTAAATGAAGACTACATAATGAATGTGCATAAAATAGTATCAACCTCATGGAAAGATATACAATTTTATGTCCTGCCTAAAGATATCATAACCACACCCCCACACCCAAAGCGGTTACTGCCTTTTCATTACATGAACTCAAATATTAAATTTTCATATAAAACATTGAAAGTATTTATTTCACTGGACTTCCTTCTTTCTCTTTTTTGTAGAGGTACAAACCATACAGATTTCAGGACCAGGAAAATAAAGAAAAAGTTTGGACTGGCCAGGGGGAAGAAATGTGTTAAACAAGTGATATGGTTTGGCTCTGTTGCCACTCAGATCTCATCTTGAGTTGTAGTTCCCATAATCCCCATATGTGGTGGGAGGGACCAAGTGGGAGGTAACTGAATCATGGGTGCAGTTTCCCCCATGCTATTCTTGTGATAACGAGCAAGTTCTCAAGATCTGATGGTTTTATAAGGGGCTTGCCCCTTCACTCAGCTCTCATTCTTCTCTCTCCTGTTGCCACGTGAAGAAGGATGTGTTTGTTTGCCCTTCTGCCATGCTTGTAACTTTCCTGAGGCCTCCTCAGCCATGCAGAATTGTGAGTCAATTAAACCTCTTTTATTTATAAATTACCCAGTCTTGGATATTTCTTCATAGCAGCATGAGAATAAACTAACACAAAAAGAGATGAAATACCTCACCTAAAGACATTTAAAATTTTATACAACAAGAGATGAAATACTTCACGTAAGGACACTAAAAATTTTTCCTCCCCAAAAAATTGCAGGCCATGAACTTTTTAGAAACTGCTTTATAATATTGTTTAGCAAATTAAGGGTGTAATTTAAAAAGAGAATCCTAATGTAGGAAATGAATGGTGGTTAGATTACAGAAATGTGAATAGAGAGATCTTATACTACATTTGGGTCCAGGAAGCACTTTAAATTATTAATTTATATGCTGAAATATATTATAATAACAATTAAGATACTACATATAAAGATAGCATACAAAATAAATATTACCAGGACAATAATTATTGTAAACCTCTTTGCCAGAATTCTCTAAAGACAGAATTTAGCACTCTCTTTGGAGCTAGCATTAGTGCCTATAGGGTCTTCACATTTCTATTAAGGCTACGTCTTCAATAAAACAAAGGTTATCATATTATCCAAAAAAAAAAAAATGCTTGCTAGGTAAGTGTATTCTCTGTAACAGTACCTGCTGGGGTGTCTTCTGACCTTGAACTCCCAGCATCCTGACGTTGTCTGGACTTGTCTTCAGCTTCTCCTGGAGAACCAAATTCCAAGCTGAAGAGCGGCTTTTTTCTGTCCAAGTCACCAGAGGATGAACTACCGTAAGAGAAGCCACCTACAGCAAATAACAGAAGATTTATTTGAAAACAGCATTGTTAGCACAGACTATAAAAGCGGTCTGATTATGACACTAAGAAAAGCCACTTTTTTATTTTATACAAGTCTTATTATTCTGGCGGCACTTGAACAACATATACCACCTATCCATGTCTTTTTGTCATGGTTCTCAGACCTTAAGAAAGAGAGGAGAATCGAGCTGTGGAAATTCAATCATTGATGTGTGCTAGAGAGACCCTTCTTCTCCTGGACAGAGCAGAAACTCCCCAATCTGCTTTCTTCCCCATTCGTAAGTCCCAAGTTCCAGCATCCCACCTCTTCCCACTGCTATTGTTTAGGAGTTTGTCTGCCCACAACCCATGTTGAAATTTGATCCCTGTGATGGAGGTAGGGCCTGTTGGGAAGTGTTTGGGTCATGTGGGCAAACACCTCAGGAATAGCTTGGTGTTGTCCTCCTGGTAATGAATGAGCTATTGCTCTGTTAGTTCCCACAGAACTGTCATTCCTTGTCTCTCTCTCTTTTTCTCGCTCTCTCATGGTGCACCGGCTAGCTGCCCTTGGCCGTTGCCATGAGCGGAAGCACCCAGAGACCCTCACCAGAAGTAAAGGCTGGTGCCATGCTTCTTATACAGCCTTCAAATACAGGAGATGAATAACCCCCATTCTTCATAAATTACCCAGCCTCAGATATTTCCTTATGGATAGCAAGGCAAATAAACTTAGATGCCCAGCAAAATACTCTGCTATGTTGAATCCACTCTGCCCTTGGCTACTGTTCCTTATAACTGACAAAATTAAGATAACATATCTGACTCTCCTTTCTGTATTCCTGCAAAGACGTAACCATTTACTCATAAATTAATTGTAAAGTTAGCCTCTTTCAAGTCTCAGCTTAAATTTCATCTCAATGAGGCACACTCTGACCAGTTAAAACTGCAACTCCACCCCCACCATTATACTCCCAATCACCACTATATTTAATATTACTCTATTTTATCCCACAGATTTTATCACCTTTTAATATAACATGTTTACTGCTTATAATGTTTTTTGTTTATTGACTGTATCCTTCCAGGTTTTAAGCTGCAAAAACTCAATGTTTCTTTGCCTGTTTAATTCACTCAAGTATCCCAGGTGATGAGAGCAGTGCCTGAACTACAGAGGACACCCAATTCATATTTATTTAGTAAATACATTCACCAACAAGATTACTTTTAAGAGAAGAAATACTGTCTTACATGATGCATATGTGCTTTCCGTCATTCCCTTTATTTTTTTAATCTTTACAATAAAATTGAAATGCTTTAGAATTAATGTCATCATAATGATGATATTCCTGTAAAGTTGTGGAAGACATACATTTTGATCAATGAATAGAGAAGAGAATGAAGCACATTACTTGTAAGTAAAATTTGAAGAATAAGTAAGAGCAAATGCAAGTAAAACTTAGTAGTTTAATTCTCCATATTCAAAATAGGAGATGAGATTTCTCTCCCTACACACTTTTGCTTAGATTATTTACTTTAGAAAACTTGTGTTTTCAGCCGGGCACGGTGGCTTATGCCTGTAATCCCAGCACTTTGGGAGGCTGAGGCGGGCAGATCACAAGGTCAGGAATTCAAGGCCAGCCTGGCCAACATGGTGAAACCCCGTCTCTACCAAAAATACAAAAATTAGCTGGGTGTGGTGGCGCATGCCTGTAGTCCCAGCTACCAGGGAGGCTGAGGCATGAGAATCGCTTGAGCCCAGGAGGTGGAGTTTGCAGTGAGCCAAGATTGCACCACCCTACTCCAACCTGGCGACAGAGTGAGACTCCCTCTCAAAAAAAAAAAAAAGAAAAGAAAGAAAGAAAAGAAAACTTGTGACTTATTTCTCTACCTCTCTGAAATGTATATAAATATTTTTAAAGACTGGATAAGCATCCCAAGAATGGTTCCCCAAGGGCCTGGCACCATCACTTTGACATGTCATCACAGAGGAAGATAACTTCCCATCTCCTAGGTTCCTGGGAGGTAGGAGCCTAACTTCAGCTGGTGCCTGGTTACAAATTGCAAACCTACCTCCAGTCATAAGATGCAAGAAATTTATTTTTTTTCTTTTAAAGACAATCAGCAGACACAGGTGGCCACCCCAACTACCCCGTAAATTTAGATTGAACTGTATGGCTAATGCTGCTATGAAATTCACTTGAGAACTCCTTGTTAATCTTGAGAACATGTATGCCATAGATTACATCTGCTTGGCTATGTCTTTCTGTTTTGGTAGTCTCCTTAACCTGTATGTGCATCACATTCTGCTTTAGTGTTTATTCCATAATAAAACTTTTTATTGTAGGAATACAAGTGCTTAAATCATGTATAGTCTATTTATATTATTACCTATATTAGGTAACCTTCCAATGACTACACTACCTTTCTCCACAGACAGCATTGCCTCTCATTGTCTCCTCTTTCCCTCTATCAACCCATGTTTTCTACATACTCTTCTTCCTTTCCTCTTTTACCCTCTCTCTCTCATTGTCTTTCTTCGATGCCATGTAGTTTCAGAACCGCACTTTAATATATAAATATCTTAGTTTGATGACAAAGCAGAAGGAAGAAAAGAAGTATTCAGCTGTGTGTAAAGTATGCACTTTTCAGCAAACCCATCTGGGCTCACCCTCTTGGAATCAGTGTGGTCTTGGCCACTACCTCTCTTAGACCTAGCAACAGAGGTTGCTGCTCTGATCTATGTCAGTTTCATGCCGCCTTCCTGGGTCATGGCCTTCCTCAGAGAACACAGAATACAGGGCGAGGGTGAAGAGCCTTTGTCTACTCAGAGGGTGTGCTTGCCCCTCCCCATTACTGGACAGTATTCTAAGTCCCCTGGGCTGCAGCTCCAAGCCTGCTACTTGGACCTTCATGGGCATCTTTCCTGAGACCTTCTGCCCCAGGTGAGACCACATTGCAAAAATTGAAGCCCAAGGTGTGAGGAATGAACAGAGGGTGGTCAGTTTGCAGAAAGAGGTGGACTGAGATAGGAAAGCTGGCCTGTCTCTCCCAGTGTGACCAAGCCAGAGAGAGAAGGAGCAGGGCTACTTCTTGGATAGGGCACAGGCAACCCTGTTCTTGCATTGATTTCCAATGAATCTAAAAATTCTGCATAGGAAATGTCATTCCAGCTTACACATTTTATTTGCTACTTTGTTCCTGTTATTTGTAACTTTTTTATTATTTACACACTTGCATTTGTACTTTTGCCCCTGGCTGTGTTTTGTGTTCTTGACTTGTCCTTGGATAGACAATATAACATTTCTAAAACAAAGTTTTCTTATCTACTAAATGGGGAGTAAATCATAAACAAGGATAAGATCATGTCTACTTCATAATAGAAGTATTAATTAAATGACAGTGTTAAGTGAGGTGAGTGCACCTAGTCCAGTGTCTTACACACAGCATTCAACTGGAATAAACCCTGTCCTTTAATACATTTGACTTGTCTCAGCAAACTTACTGCATCAAACTCGTTTAGATGCATTTTATTTCACTTATTTAATTCATGATGTGTTTGTTCACCATACTCATCATACCTCTTCTGAGCTCAACCCCGGAGACATATTAGATTCTTCATTTTATTAGACCAGTATTTCTTCATTCTAATGTTGACATGAGTAGACCTGGCATCCTAGATATTCAATGTGCCACATTTGTCTTTACTAACTTTATTAACTTTATTTTATCCCTTTTGTTTTTATTATATAAAACTTGCTCAGAAATACTTGCTGCTGAAGTTATGGTCAGTATGTTTTTCAAATGTACAACATCTGTATAACAGTACTTTATATACCTTATCACTTTAGTAGCCTCAATTCTATGGGATAGGTGCCATTAAACTACTTCATTTGTAGATGAGAAAATAGATATTTAGAAGAGACTGAATAATTTGTCCAAGATCACGTGGTTAGAAAAATCTGCCAAGAAATCCTTTGCTCTTAACTGCGATGTACACTGCCTTCATCTTGCTTAAAGACAGATTGCTTATACAATGCTCAAAGATAAATAAAATGTTTACTTTATAGCTTAAGGATAAATGAAAATGTTTATATTTTCATAATAAAGCCATATTAGATTTTGAATACATTTTGCACAAAATTTTGGAAGGTTTAGCTTATACTTTAAACCATAGAATAGAGTAGAAAATAAAAATAGACATAATTCTGCTTCTTCATCCCTACCTCATGGAGAGAAAGGGCTGGATAAGAGAGGTGAACATGATTCCGCTGTGTGGATAGGAAGATTTTTAAAGTAATGGGAACAAATGAATTATGTTTCTGACATCAGTAAAAATCAGTGGATATCAAAAAACATGAAGCCTTGTATTGACCTATAATCCTTTTTCTCAAATGTAGGAGTCTTGATCTCATTAAAGAATGAAGAGTTTGAGGGATAACAATGCCCTGAAGTTTGTCCAGTTTTTTTGTTTGTTTGTTGTTTGTTTGTTTGTTTGTTTGCTTTTTGAGATGGAGTCTTGCTTTGTTGCCAGGCTGGAGTGCAGTGGCGCAATCTTGGCTCATTGCAAGCTCTACCACCTGGGTTCAAGCAATTCTCCTGCCTCAGCCTCCTGAGTATCTGGGACTACAGGCCCCCACCACCATGCCCGGCTAATTTTTCTCTTCTTTGGAAGAGACGGGCTTTCACCATGTTGGCCAGGATGGTCTCAGTCTCTTGACCTCGTGATCTGCCTGCCTCAGCCTCCCAAAGTGCTGGGATTACAGGCCTGAACCACCGTGCCTGGTCAGTTTGTCCAGTTTTATGTTGACTGGTTGAGTGGTTGATGGGGACTTTCTTGCTTGCCATTTTTATTCACTTAAGACAGCTCTAGCCTTGGAGAACCTCATGTCCCTCCTAAATAATACCCAGACCTGGAAGTTCTCTGAGACACATGGGAATAAATTCAATTCCTCAGAATTTTAAGGAACTTTCATAGAACTATAAAATCCCAAGCATACCCTTACCTCCCTCTCATTTGTGAATGGAGGCTTCTAAAGGAATGCTGAAGACTCGTATACCCCCATTTACAAAAGTAACAACCAGATTTTGTAGAGAAACTCTTACTATATCACTATGATGGAATTTAATGAGTCTCGTCCATAGTTGTGAAAAATAATCTTGCTGTCTTCCTGACTCAACTGAGCTGCTGCTTAATCTCAGTTTCTATTTTCCCTCAAAGAAGACTTTTTGAAATTACATTTTATTTATGTTGTAGAATGAGGTAGGGATGTAAAATGCCTATAAGAAAAGCACAGGAAAGTATATTGGGCTGTTTTGATTGCTGTGTACAATAGATCAGAATAAAATTGAATCTAAGTTGATATTAGCAATAATCTTAATGCTGGATTTCAGAAAAACTTCATTAAGCAGTCTTGTTGATTTGCTATGGCTCATTTTTCCATTTCAGTGGGTAGAGAAACAAAAAACAGTAAAGGATAATGGTGATATTCAATCACCTGATGGGATCTAGTAAAACTGCTGAAACTAGATTGATTTTAAAGCAGATCACTAAGGAATCAATCCTGGAAGAGAAAAGCAACAGCATGTCCTGCCAATGAAAATATAGGAAAGTAAAATCTTAAATTTGCATACACATTTCTATCACAGGTTTAAGATATTTTAGGTTAAGCAAATAACCAGAGCAATTTTCCATTTTAAATTTCACCACCTGTAAAAGTATTGATCAAAGATTAAAATGTCTGGCCCAGATTATACAAAAACACATTAAAGCATGTCTGTAATAATAAGAGAGATTATATTTTAAGCATTTGAAGGATTTTTCCAGGGGAGATACGCCCTAGGTCCAAAGCAAAGCACTACCATTCTATTGCTTTTGAGTATAAACAGTGTAAGAAAAGAGAATAAAGTAATTTACCTGATCTGCTTGCTGCTATTTTACCATCTGAACAAAGAAAGGAAGAATTGCTGTCATTAGTGGTGTCTCTAAATGATAGATTTGCCAGTAGAAAGTGAATATTGATTGCAGTCATTTCTTGTCTTTGGGAGGTGCTCCCAAAGAGATATATTCATTGAATTTAATACTCAGGCGTAAATACGGTAATTAGCCATTGCCCATGGTACATTTCTGCATCTTCAGAACACTGCCATAAAGGAGAAAGTCTGGGCTAATCTTCCAGTCACTCTCATGCCCAGTCTAAATGCATAAATTAGAATGCAGCAAAACTCAATAATTTTTAGATGCCTGAACAGGTGCTTCAAAAGACTAATTATTCTTTTGGTAAAATGCAGAAGTTTTAGTTAAAATATATTTTCATGTGACAAAGGTACTGAATAAACTACAATTACTTAATCTGAATCAAATGTCTACAATTTCTAGTTTACAGCTGAATACTAAAATTTATGTATACACAACTTAAAAATTATTTAAGTGTCATTATTGTAAATCAAGGTAAACTTTCTCCATACTTAAATAAATGGCATGTAAATGTACAACCTTGTCAAGCTATTGTAAGTACAGCTGAGTCAAAAACTCACAATAAGAATGGGTACTTTACAACAAAAAGTATAATTTACATATACACGCACTTATTAAGATTTACAAATATAAAAATATTTGCATTAAATACATCAAGTCATTGGTTTCCAAAATAATTTTCTCAATAATTCTGTGAAATAAAACACTTAACAATGGTAATCGAATTTTGCATAAAGTTGCATGTTGATTGCATATTAAAGAAACTTCAAAGATGTTTTCGGTAACATTTTTATTTGGAGATTTACAGGATTGTGGTTTGTTTTAAATGCTTCTCTATGCTCTATAACCTTTAAATTTTCTAAACCCAAACTGACTGCATTATTCAAATAAAGAGTCAAGGCACATGGTCTGATACTAAGATAAACTTTTAGAAATTTGAACTAAAATCCAATTCAGGATAATCCAGGACTTATGGTTAGTAAACCTATCCCAGAGATGAAGGGGTAAATTAAGACAAACAGTAAATAGCACATTTAAAAGATAAAGTATTTCCCATATGTTCTCATAAATTTGTTGTCAAAACCAAATCTTATGTATTGCACAAACAAATGCACACACACATGTCTAGCCAAAGGCTAAGAAGAAATGGTTTATAGATGTGGCTTGGAGACACTTAATATAAATGCTTCAAAAGAAAACTGCACAGTAATATTCTCTGTGTAAGTTAAACACCTGGAAAATTCTAACTATCTGAAATGTAGATTGCAGTTAAGAAGTTGTCCCGAAATCCTCTTGTGGCAAATAGAGATATCATCCAGCCCACGTATAAATTCTTGCTTATTCAATGTACCCATCAGGAGAAATCTTTTGAGGCCTCACTCAGAGTGCACATCCTTACCACAGGTACAAGGCTAATGAGCTTGGATCGATGGTGTTCTCAGCCCAGTGGACTGAAAACAATGAGTAAGAATTGGAACTGACTGCTAAAAGTAGACATGATGATCCTATGAATATAGAGTTAGTTGTTGAACAGAAAGGAGAGGACAGAAAGGCAAATCAAAAGCAGACACAGAAACTCAGAAACAATCTCCAGAACAGGGACAAACTGTTTACACAAGTCAGTAGATTCCAAGGGCATCATTGTATAGAATGTAATATGATAATGGACATGCATTTTCATGCCCTTAAAAAAGATTAAGCTATTTTCAGAAGTTCCTCGTCTTCTTTGGTAAGAAGTTAGGGCATCCTTGGTTTATTTCAGAAAGTTTACCTTGCAAAGCATTTGGTTAATTTCAAGTAGAAAATTCTTGTAGGAAAAATAAATCTTATATTGATAATCCCAATTTATTTTATTCATTTAAAACAAAGACGTACTGAGGACCTACTCCATTGCAGCCACTGCTCTTGGCATTATGAACACAGGGTGAGCAGCATAGACCAAAATCTGTCCTTAAAGAGTTCAGAGTCACGTGGAGTAAACGGGGTGTCATGGGAGCTCATTCACAAAACCAAGTGTGTAGGACACACATTAATTTTCTGATTCCAAAAGCAACCTCACAATGCAGCATAATGTTTCAAAGCAAAGATTAATTCCTGAAAGATACTGACCTGATTTTTGTCGGTAAAGTAGGGCTTCCACATCTATTTTTAAATGGAAAAAAAAACAAAACAAGTCATTTTATAATTCTCTATAACATATTTTAAGACAATGAAAAAGATGTTCTTTTTGTTTTCATTCTTCCTTAAAATTCAATATAAGCAATCCACTGTTTTTATCTGGTAAGTGTAATATTTTAATGGTAATTTATTATTTTGCAGGTTTTCTATTTAATAGGAAATGATCTATGTAACACAGACCTACCAGCATACTTGATATCAAAATTTTCAATGCCAACTCAGACTTGAAAATATGCATGACCAAATAGATTAAGTTCACAAATTAATATTAGCCAGTACTTTATATCTTTTTCACACAACTACAGCTGTTTATCTAAAGTATGTTTTCTGATCTAAATTTCACATGCTTTTATTTCCCCTAAACATTTTCTGGGTAATGTGTTCATAAGCAGTGAATTATACAAAAAAGAAACAAGAATAAAAGAACAGAATCAATTATATGGACTTAAATGAGAATATAGGATAGCCTGAGGAAAAAAAAATAAAAGCAGATTATGCATATTCACACCTGAACTATGTCTCTTATAACTGTTTTTTTCTACTTAACCAGAAAAAGTGTTTTTCAAATTTTTTTCTTTCTATATAGTTATGCTTGATTAAACAATGCAAATGTTTCTTCCAATTGATTATATGGATACTGACTAAATATTTGCCTTCAGCAACTTCCAGGCCCCAAGATTTATCATCCTATAACCTACTGAAAACTATGAGAATCTGTATATGAAACATAAATCAGACTAACAGCAACAAAAATTCATTTCAAATAAGGCACCTAGGATTTCTGCAAAGAGCAGTTTTCCAAGTATGTTTCTCATTTCCCACAATGACATCTTGAATAAATACATAAAATCTTTGAATTTTGTTGATAAGTCGCCTGTCTATGGAAAGCCCGTTGAAATACTCATAATCATTTTCCAGATCTACAATGGATGGATATATAGGAATTTACCTTAGAAACATGAGCCAGTTCTTCAGGAAACTTAATATACTTACAACAAGTACTTTTAAAATTATGTTTATGGTGATACGACGTAAAATAAATGCTTTGAAAATAATGTACTCGGGCCGGGCACGGTGGCTCACGCCTGTAATCCCAGCACTTTGGGAGGCCGAGGCAGGCAATCATGAGGTCAAGAAATCGAGACCATCCTGGCGAACAAACACGGTGAAACCCCGTCTCTACTAAAAATACAAAAAACTTAGCTGGGCGAGGTGGCGGCGCCTGTAGTCCCAGCTTCTCGGGAGGCTGAGGCAGCAGAATGGCGTGAGCCCGGGAGGCGGAGGTTGCAGTGAGCTGAGATCACGCCACTGCACTCCAGCCTGGGCGACAGAGCGAGATTCTGTCTCCAAAAAAAAAAAAGAAAAAAGAAAAGAAAAGAAAAGAATGTGCTCTGTGCTCCATTACTTAGGAAACAAGAAACACATTTATGCAACAGGAAAAAAAGAATATAACAAAGCACTATGTAAGATTTTGAAAATCACTGTTACACAAAGTAATCATTTTCTAATGGTTCATCAATTTCCCAGAGAGTTGGATTAAACTTAGAAACATTTTGTCTTAATTATAACAAATAATTGCAGTTCTCTATATTCTGGCATCTCAGAGAAAAGTAAGATGTATGTTTTGTGTTCTACTTTCAGATTTAGAGAATAGATTTTTAAGTTTAGATATGGAAAAAAATCTCCTGCTCTTTGCAGACTTTTCCCCTTACGTTTGGATAATGTTATCTTTTCTGCCCTTTTCAGGAACAGAACAACGTTTGTTTCTAGGCACTTTTTCATTTTGCTTAATGTTTAATTTTCTCAAAATGAATGACATCTTACCTTTAATTTGTGAAAGTAATTAATGAACTTTCTAAAATATCCAGCAAAGTCGTTAGTTTAAAAGTGTTGTTTTTGATGATGACCCTGTTTTTAATTGGTGATAATTTCTCGATTTGTGAAAAACATGATTACCTGTTTGTGTCTTTAGTCTTAGTAGGGATATGCATTCAAGATAGAAACATCAAAGCATAAACTGTGATGAAAATCAGTAACAAACAACACTGAATGTATGTTGCGTGATCTTCTTAGTAACAGTTCTAGGCAGTTGCTAAACAAATATATCTAAATGTGTATACATATATTTAAAAGCATCCTTCATTTTATTGTGCTTTACTTTACTGATGTTTACATATATCGTGTGCTTTACAAATTGAAGATTTGTGGCAACCCTGTGACTAGCAACTCTGCTGACACCATTTCTCCAACAGCACGTGCTCACTTCAGGTCTTTGTAACATATTTTCATAATTCTCCCAATATTTCCAATTTATTATTATTGTTATACCTGTTATGGTGCTCTATGATCAGTGATTTTTTGATGTTGCTCTTGTAATTGTTTTCGAGCATCACAAGCCATGCTCAATAACATGGCAAACTTAATATAGACTTATGTTCTGACCTCTCTACCAATAGGTCATTGCCCCCATCCCACTCCCTCTCTTTGGGCCTCCCTTTTCCCTGAGACACAACAATATTGAAATTAGGCCAATTAATAACCCTACAATGGCCTCTAAGTGTTCACATGAAAAGAAGAGTGGCAGATCTTGCATTTAATATCAAAAGTTCAAAATGATTAAGCTTAGTGAGGAAGGCACGTGGAAAGCCGAGACAGGCTGAAAGCTGAGTCTCTTGTGCTGAACACTCAGCCAATTTGTGAATGCAAAAGAAAAATTCTTGAAGGAAATTAAAAGTGCTACTCCAGCGAACACATGAATGATAAGAAAGCAAAACAGCCTTATTTCTGATATGGAGAAAGTTTGAGTAGCCTGGAAATATCAAGCTAGCCACAATATTCCCTTAAGCCAAACCGTAATCCAGAAAAAAGGCTTTAACTCTTTTCAGTTCTCTGAAGCCTGATAGAGGTGAAGGAGCTACAGAAGAGAAGTTTTAAGTTAGCAGAGTTTAGCTCATGAAATTTAAGGAAACAAGCAGTCTCCATAAGATGAAAGTGCAAAGTGAAGTAGCAAGGGCTGATGGAGAAGCTGCAGCAAGTTCAGAACAGAAGATCTAGCTAAGATAATTCATGAAGGTGGCTGCACCAGACAATAGATTTTCACTGTAAACAAAACAGTTTTCGATTGGCAGAAGATGCCATCTAGGACTTTCGTAGCTAAAGAGGAGACCTCAATGCCTGGTTTCCAAGCTCCAAAGGACAGACTGATTCTCTTTTTTAGGGTCTAATGCAGCTTCTGACTTGAGGTTAAAACCACTGGTCATTGACCATTCTGAAAGTCCTAGGTCCCTTAAGAATTACGCTAAATCTATTCTGCCCATGCTCTATATATGAAATAACTCAGCCTGGATGATAGTACGTCTGTTTACAACAGGACTTATTGAATATTTTAAGCCCATTGCTGAGATCTAGTGCTCAGTACAAAAGATGCCTTTCAAAATATTACTGCTCATTGATAAGAGTTCGAGAGCTCTGATGGAGATGTACATAGAGATTAATTTTGTTTTCAGGCTGCTAACACAACATCCATTCTGCAGCCGACAGGTAAAGGAGTAATTTTGACTTTCACATCTTCTTACTGAAGAAATAAATACATTTCTTAAGGTTATAGCTTGCCCTAAATAATGATCCCTCTGATGAATATAATCCAAGTAAATTGAAAATCTTCTGGAAAGGATTCATCTTTCTAGATGCACATTCATGATTCATGAGAGGAAGCCAAAATATCAACATTAAAATAATTTGGAAGAAGCTGACTTTTAGGAGTTCAAGACTTCAGTAGAAGAAGCAACTGTGGATGTGGCAGAAAGAACAAGAGAACTAGAATTAAAAGTGGAGCCTGAAGATGTGACCGAATTGCTGCAATCTCATGAGAAAACTTGAACAGATGATGAGTTGCCCCTTGTGAATGAGCAAGGAAAGTGATTTCTTTAATTGAGAGCTACTTCTGGTGAAGATGCTGTGAACATAGTTGAAATGACAACAAAGGATTTAGAATATTAGACAAAGTTAGATGCTAAAGCAGTAGCAGGATTTAAGAAATCTGACTGCAACTTTGAAAGAAGTTCTACTGTGGGTAAAATGTTGTCAAGCAGCATTGCATGCTACAGAAAAATCTTTCATGAATTGAAGAGTCTATCAATGTGGCAAATGTCATAGCTTTCTTATTTTGAGAAATTGCCACAGCTCCCCCCTCTCCACCTTCAGTAGCCACCACATTGGGTACTCAGCAGCAGTCAACATCAAGGCAAGACCCTTCACCAGCCAAAAGACTACAACTCAGTGAAAACTCAAATGATCATAGCATTGCTTAGCAATAAAGAATTTTTAACCGAGGTATATATACATTGTTTTTTGTACATAATGCTATTGTACACTTAGTCTACAGTATAGGGTAAACATAACTTTTATACATGTTGGGAAGCAAAAAAACTGTGTGTGACCTGCTTTATCACAATATTCACTTTATTGCAGTAATCTAGAAGCAAACCCGAGATATCTCCAAGGTATGCTTGTATCCACACCCTTAAGACAGGATTGTTAAAGCTGAGGTAATACACAGTAAGATGAAAAATCCGGTTTTCTTATCCTACTCTAAAGCATAGTGTAAGAAAGATTGCTAGGAAGAAAATGTTTGATGTACAGAACACTAAACATTTAAACAAATGTATACTTGGGGTCATCACATTTGAAAGAATTCTTTAAATTAGTTTCTTACCTTTGCAGAAGCACCAAAGAGCCACAACCAAGTACCATAATATCAACTTCATGGTTGTGATTTGAGACCTAGAAATGGGGCATAGTCATTCTGGAGAGACAAGTCCACAAGGGCCCCTGTAACTTTGGTTTTTATACCCACTCATCCCACTGTCTGCCATCATGGGCTAGGTGTGGTAAACTTGGTGACGAGAGAGCAAAGGTAAATGTCATAGCCTGCCAAAGATGAAATCCATTTTCAGCCAGTTTAGTGCCTTACTCCTATGACCAATCTTCTATCTTGGACCAAATCCAGCTCATACCAAACCCAGAACATGCCTTCTTGCCGCCCTGTGCAAACAGCAAAGCCAGGAACTAAAAGCCCCAGGATTAAAAACTAAATAAGCTAAGGATACACACATTTATCTGTCCTCCATTAATCACTGCAGAAGTCTTAATACCTCAAGAAACTCAAATATTGTGATTAAATATTGTAATTGTCTTTCCCTTAACAACAAAATGTGTTTTAAACATTAACCTACTTTGAAACAAAGAACTCTTTACTTACCAATATGTTAGAGAAATGCATTGCGTAAGTATAGGTGTAGATGCCCTAAGATGTATAAATATACAGTAATAGCTTTATAATTCAAAAGGATATGTAAAACTCTAATGATATGTTTTTATTTTACAATAAGATATATAAATAAGTAGAAAATATATTAAAATGAAAACAACATAAAAAGAATGTTTTAGGACAAACACAAATTTAAATAGAAAATGTCATTCATCAATACATATCTAGATATCCTGGGTAAAGAGATAAGTTCAAGTTAGAATCTCAGAGAAGTTCTGATCTGGTCTATGATGAACAGGGTAGAGAGGATTGACAAGGGAGGAATCTCTTGGGCCAGTCAAGTGGACCTGGAAAATGGAAAGGCCAACTCCACAGCTTCAATGATGCCATTTGCTCCTCATCTGCTCCCAGCTGCTACCAAGGAAAGACTTCAGCAGCTAAAGTGAAAGCAGTCCTTAGTTTTTTCTCCCCAGAAAAGCAGAAGAATCCAGGAAAGGGGGAAAAGGTATGGCCCAACATCCTTTTTCTTCCCCTTTATTCACTCATGACTCAACTAACTTAGAACAAATAAATAATTCCTACCTTTTCAGAGGGCCTCACCAATGCATATTGAATGCTTTTACACATGCTCCTTGGCTGACCAAATCTGTTTAGTCTATTTGTTGAGTCTTAAATTATTTCCAAAGGGGACAGAATTTAACAGATTTAAACATTTTAATTGCATTTGCCTGATCAAGGTGGCACATTTACTGAAGGCCGTGCAATATTAAATCTGACACCAGTATAAGTATCAGAGCTTTTTCTGAGTCAGGCTTTTGGAGATGGTAAACAATAGATATTTTAGTGCTGGAGAAGAGGACTCACTCCAAGAACAGAGAAAGAGGTAACAAATGGAGGTTAAAGAGACTAACAACTGACTCACTGACTTTGTCATTTTTCCAAAACCCAGCCTTGTTTCTTTCAATGATTCACAAATTTATTAAGATGGTACATAAAGGACTTTTCTCCAATATAGAAAAAAATATAGTTCAGAGGGAACTATATTATACACTGAGACATGTGACTCACAGTAACACTGCCATTGATGATGTTCTTTTCTTTATCATACATGACTTCATTGTGAAGAAGATTTAATCCCAGGAAAGCCATTTTTTTAGATTATCATTATGACATAATTATTCTGCTATATGCTTCACAGTAGGCTTAGACATGTAAGAGACTAGAATGATACAAAGTTATCAGGGGCTGTTAAGCAACCAAGAATATATGCAAGATAGAACATTTCAACAAGCAAGATTGAATGGAAATGGTATGGAAGCTCCGAGGAAGGTGAGATTACTTTTAGCTTAGAAGAATCAGGGAACATTTCATTACACTTGCTTGGCACAACCCTAACCATGGCTTAAATTAAACTCTTTCCTGTTCCCAACTACACTATGCAGATGAACACAACTTGTTCATCTACGAACCACATGCTGACTTGTCTCTCTTAAATCCATTACCCCAAATTGACCCTTAAGACAGCTAGGCAATTATATTTTCTACTCCATTTGCTGTCACACACTTCCATTTCATATCTTCTCTCTTCTCAACATCCAACACCTCTTTCCCATCATCCCTTTCTGTTAATAGCATTATTTCCAGTTTTACCGAGGAAACAAAAGCTATCAAAAGAAAACTCTACCAGATTTCTACTCAATTACCTACCTTCTTATTTATCCAGATGAACTCTCTGTGCCACTATCAAAGGCCAACTCTTTCATTTGTATACTGGATTCCATCCAAGAATATTATGCCAGCAATTCATTCATCTCTAGTTTGTCCCCCCTTTTGGATTATTCTCAACAGTATAAATGCATGAGCTTATTTCTCCTAACTCAAAATAAATAAATACGTACATGAAACAGTGCTACGAAATGTGAATTATATCTCAATAAAGCTGTTTAAAAAAAAAACTGTGGAACTCACTTCCTTTCTGGCTCTCTTCCCATTTCTCTGTTCCCTTTAATGATTAAATATCACAAAAGAGGTATTTGTGCTCATGGATTCACTCATGAACTTTGTTCCTTCAAGTTTTCACTCCATCACTCCACAAGATGTGCCCTTGGCAAGGACACTGGTGACTGATCCCCTTTTGTGAATCTAATGCCTTTTATTAACCTCTCAACAACAGCATTGAACACAGTTGATCAATTCCTGCTTTTCAGTACACCTTATGTCACTTCTGCAAATTCCAAGCTTTTTTCTATTTCCTTTGTTGCTCCTTTTTATCCTCTGTTGATTCCTTCTCATATCCCAAGGCCTGTTAACATGAGGACCCTGAGGTTCAAATTTGCATCTCTCTTTTTGTTATTCACTCCTTGGGAGGGATTCTATTCAAATTCTATGAATTTAAATACCATGCATATGCTCGTTACTTTCAAGTTTATATATCTAGCCTGGCCTTTTCCTCTGAGCTCCAGGCTCATATTAATCATCTTTACTTGAATGTCTGCTAAGCAGCTGAAACTCAGTGTGTCCAACATGAAACTCCAGTGCTATGTTCCATCCCTTCCACAGATGTGCTTCGCCTAATGTCTTTTCATCTCAGTTAATGGAGCCTCTGTTCTTCCAGTTACCTCTACCCACAATTTGGAGCCATCCTTGACTCCTCTTTTTCTTTCACCCATCCCCTACTCATTCCATTGGAAGATCGTCTTAATTTTCACTTTCATCTTGAGTTCAACCTCTTCTCAGCACTCCCACTACCACTACCCTGATACCCCTCATTTATGCTGCCATCACCTCTGGCCTAGATTACCATAATGGACTTTCAACTAGTCTCTCTACTTATCTACTTATTCACTGTGGCTAATCTCAGGACATCAGCCAGCATGGTCCTGTGCAAACTGGCTCTTATGCTGTGTTTCTCCACTCAAAACTCTCATGGCCTTATTTCATTCAAAATAAAATCAACACCATTAACATGGCTTACAAGGTCCTGCTCCATCAGCCCCAACTCTCTCATCTCATCTTCTACCTACCTACTCTTACTGTCTCCACTCCAGTCCCAGAGGCCTCCTTTCTATTGGTGGAGCTTACCAGGTACAATCATACCTCAGAATCACACTCAGAATCTGATGTGGTTTGGCTGTGTCCCCACCCAAATCTCATCTTGAATTGTAGTTCCCATAATCCCCCTGTGTTGTAGGAGGGATCCAGGGGGAGGTAATTTAATCATGTGGGTGGTTACCTCCATGCTGTTCTTGTGATAGTGAATGAATTATCATGATATCTGATGGTTTTATAAGGGCCTTTACCCCTTTGCTAGGCACTTCTCCTTCCTGCCACCATGTGGAGAAGGATATGTTTGTGTCTCCTTTTGTTACCAGTGGGTCTTTGCTCCTAGGGCTCTCAAGGTGGTGGCAGGCTGCTCCCAAGATGGGGTGGGCCGTTCCCAAGATGGCAGCAAGCCTTTTGTTCTCTGACCTGGGGTTCTTGGCCTCACAGATTCCAAGGAATGGAACTTTGGGCCATGCGGTGAGTATTATAGCTCTACTAGAAGCTGTGGGTCACAGAAGAGAACCGTGGAACCCAGTGACTAGTGTTCAGCTTGATTAGGATGAATCCGTGCACTTAGCTGCACAGGAACAATGGTGAGCCTCTAGTGTGATAGGGAGTGGCAATGATGCCTTGCTAAATCAGAAGCACAGAGGACACCCTGCCAGATCTGGACGGGTGGGAGTCAATGGCGGGTCTGCGACAGCGGCATTCAACAATGGTTGACAGTGAGCGAAAGCTTAGCTTGAGCTGGAACAAACATGGACCAGAAGAGTGTGCAGTTGCTAGATTTAATGGAGTGAAAACAGAGCTCCCATTCAATAGGAGGGAACCCAAAGGGGGTTGCCACTGCTGGCTCAAATGCCCTGGGTTTGTATCCCTATCATTGTCCCTCCCCTTGTGCTCTCACGCAATAGATGATTTGACTATTTCTTTACCTCCTGCTCTTAGCCTAATTTGTATTTTAGTGACCACTCTTTACTATCTGATTGGTTGGATGTGAGCTGAGTTACCATCCTTGTGTTTAAAGGTGGGTGCCATCACCTTCCCCAGCTAGGCTTAGGAATTCTTATAGGAAATTCAGCTAGTCCTGTCTCTCAGCACTCCCTTTCAACAGGAAAACCCAAGTGCTGTTGGAGAGGTTGGCTGACGACCGCTCTAACTGCTTCCTGCTGAATTAGAGCATAGCAGGGGTCATGCAGTTGACATTTCCTTGAGAGGGGTACCTTCAACGTTATCAACATTGGAGCATGGGCTATCAGGCTGGCCCAGGGGTCCACAGTAGATCTTAGTCATAGACTGCATCTGGGGCTCCATTTGAAGAGCCATTTGTACTTTTACAGCTTTGATTCTGGAAGACACAAACTTAACAAGGAGGTTAAAGATACAAGGATGCAGAAAAAGGCATTCATAAGGTCCGGGACTGTAAATCACTCTCTTTCTCTGGTATTTGGGAAAGCAGGGTATAAGGGTTGGGTACAGTTGGGTATAGAGGGACATCGGCCTTACTG